AAGTGGCATTTAAAACTCTACCATGACACCCCTATTGCAGATGACAGAGTGCACGACAGGGGGCTTTAACACTTTGACCTCACATTTACTCAACCAGGCTACGATAACAAACATAGGAAGAGTTTACTGGTACCACTTGTCTCCACAGTAAAGGGCCCGTACTGGTACACTCCTCAGAATACTAATGCCTAACAGGTATCTCTTCTTTACTCTTCCAACTCGGAATTCACAGACATTGCATTCCACAAGACGAAGCAGGAGAAGAAATGTTCCATGCCTCAATGTTTAACTGCTGCCAATGTCTACCACGACTCCCCCCGCATTCAATATACAGCTACTGTGTACTGGCTGAACAATCGTTCCTCCCTTAGCAATTGCTAGCAGTGTTGCCCACACAGGGAGACAAGGCAAGTATGCACAGTCCAGAAGGGGGTGGCTTCCCTTTGAAATATACCAGCAAGTGCATCACTGTGATATCAGTGCAATGTCTGGCACACTTACAAGTGGGAACAAAACTATATTTCTGGGTGACCATCAGCCACCCCAATCATTGCTTCTGCTGGCCAGACACTCATGATACCTTTTGCCTTGAAGTATCACAGCTCCATGAAACAAACCCAGCAGAAACTGCAAGCAGAGTTTCAGTGCAACTGCCTACAAGGGACGGGTAAGTACTGGCTTGGTGATTACACCGTTCCTCAACAGGGGAATCCTACACTGTGAGAACCCCAGAAGGATGGGGGACTAGAGCAGAACCACGTGCAGATGGCTTAAGCCCACTTGCTGTCTGCTGTTACTGCTGAACGCTACTTAGTGCTATCCTTGTATCTTTTTTGGTTCTCTGCAAACACACTTCTAATGCGGAAGAGGGCATGATGGACCCTATTGACAGTGCAATGTTACCCACCTTATTAGGTGCCAACATAATTAAAGATGTAAAATTGCTGAAAATTTTTGAAACTACGGAACAAAAAATAAAACTTGGGGAAAATCGAAATATATGCAGTACTTATCTCCTGCACCACTGCAAACTGTTTCACAGTAATTGGCTTTCAAGCAGCAAAGAAACTTCTCTAGAACAAGAGAATTAGCTACCCCACTTATCTGACTTGCTTTAGGAACCCTAGTTCTGATTATGTTCATTACCTGGTTTTTTCCACAGCTCTGAACCCACCTCTTCTTCTGACGGCATTCAAAACCCCAAGTCCCATTTTCCACAGGTATGCTTTGCCCCAGTGAATTACTGTGGAGATGACAGAGATGCCCTCTGTGAAGGATGCTTTATCATGTCTTCTTTTTGCTAGGCAAAAAGCTTCATTTTCTCCTAGAGGCATTATTCCTTCAGCAGCACTCAGAACCTTCTCTGGCAGAAACTATGGGTTTTCCCCTAAAGACTTCCTCTCCCAAATGAGCTGTGGAAGTGGCCTAGTGATATGCTTGGACTCTTCATCCTTCCTTCCTTTGTTGTCCACCTGTCAAAAAGGGTACTTGTTTGCAGGAGTTTTGGAACACCACCTACAGAGATCCCAGGAGTACAGGACACGTTTGTGGGCACCCTACAGTCCTCAGCACAGCTGAAGATGCTGAATTCCCTTTGTTGCCTCCCTTTCTCTGTTTTGTGGGTGGGGCAAGGAACTGTGACATCATGGAAGCACATTAGTGTTGCTGTGCACTCATTGGCTTCTTTCACATAGGTCATATATGGGTGTTGTCAGCAATGTGCTAAAGTATAGGTACTCACCCATAACATTCCCAGTCTGCCTGTCTCTGCATGTTTCAGCGTGGCAACTCTGATTTTTCCATCAACTTCTGTGTTTCCCATACCCCCTATTGCCTAAGGCATGTTCTGCCGTGGGCTCAGGTTTTCAATGGGTTTTTTCAATAGCTGCTCCATGTCTCTGGAACAGCCTCCCAGAAGAGGTCAGGGAGGCTTCTACCCTCCTAGGCTATTTGGAAGAGATTTTGGGGCATACCCAAGCCCAGACAAAGGTGGAATACCCAGCTGGTTAGAGGCATAAATTGATTTAGTTTTATTAAACTGTTATTGTTTTTACATTGTTGTTACCTGCCTGGGTCCTGGGATGACTGGGAGAAAGTTGGGCATATAAATATTTTAAGTAAATATCCCCGGTTCAATTTTCCGAATAGACAGGACAAAAATTTTGGCTTCCAGTATAAATTACTAAATCTTAAGTATGATAGTTTAAAAAACAATTTAATTTGAAGGGTGACTTAAAACTCACAGTAGGTTAATTTATTCAGTCTTCCATTCTTGCACACTCATTAGCAAAGAACCCATGTCACAATTGTTAAGCATTTACTGCGAACACAAATGCTTCACAAAATTCTAACCTTCTATGAGAGTTGCTAGCCAGAAACTAGCTTTAAAAAGCAAAGGAATGCTTGAATGTACTTTTAGATGTCATATTTCAACCTCCAAATCATAGTTAGGTCAGGAGTGTCCTGCTGGTTTGCACAGTCCTTTGCTCTTTTCCCAAGTCTTCAAACTTCATATTGCTGTTAAACCTGATTATAGCAACACCAGCGTTTTTGCTAACCAGTTGTTTGAAACTCTGGTTTGCACTGATGCTTCTTCAACATCATTATGGTCACACTGTTTCACCATGTTTTGCTCCAAAACAGAAGGGAGTGGGAATTTGCAAGCAAAGGGAAAGGGAGGGACAGCACCTGCAAACCACTTGCTACGGCTAGAAGAACACTGCACTAAACCATTCTTGTACAGTGCTCATCATAACAATGTGAACATTTACCGAACAAAATAAATTCTCCCAGTGTTCCACAAGTCATCAGTTAGTGTGTTTGACTCGCAATAAGGGGAAAAAATGACTTGGAAGCAATATCAGATTCATTATCACCAAAACAGAATATTTTAATTTTTGCATATTCCTAAACCATACACATTTAAGTGTGTAACAGAGACCAAAGTAACCTGTTGGAGACCTCTGCTATCCTGCAATCCCAGGCAATGAATTCTGTCACTCAAACCACACAATACTTCAATGCCTCAAAAATGCTAATCAAAAGAAGGGAACAGAAGAGGAAATCAGAAAATAACTACAGATATCTACTCATTCACAACCCACCAGTGGGCACTGTAACAATAAGAAAACCCTAACCACACCTGTTGAAAGGAAGAATCAGTCACAAAAAAAGTGTAACACAAAGCTGGCTGGCTGTTAGTCACTAAGCCATACTGAATACCTTGAACAAATTTAAATACCTTGAATAAACTTTTTAAAAAACTGACACTATCCCTTTATATATGAGAAGCTTCTCTTTTTATTGTTAGCTGTTTATGCCATCAATGATGTAATATCATGTTAAATAACTTGCATGCCAATAAGAAGTAGCTCTAAATTAGTAGAAATGGTAATAGGCAAAACAGAATTTGGACTGAAATTGTATTACAATCAAGCTAAAAATATATTACCAAAGTCAGCAGCCGTAACACTTGTTGTTATAAAGGTGCTGAACTGGGACTCATCCTGAATCAAAATTCTACTCAAGCACGCAGATATAGGTAAATATTATTAGTGCTACAAAACAGCACTAAGGAGTTCATGCTGAAGGGTCAACCACATTAAGCTGACAGAATGGAGAACACTATAGCCATACTAAGCTTTACAGTAAACTCTCATATAAAATGGATTAATTTACAGCAGTAGAATTCTCTTAGCCGGAACAACTTCAGCAACCAATAAACTTCAGTACATCAAAGCCTGCCCCAATGAACTTCACAATTAATGTTAACACAAAAAAATGTTAAAAGCCTTTTGAAGATGAGATGCAAGTAAGAAAATGCACCTTGTTTGGTAAATTTCACACAGTCACTGTGATATTAAACATATCCTGCAAAATGCAAACTGTACTGCCAATTAACTTTCCTCCAAAAAGTGTGCAACTATTAAAGCTCTTACCTGACTTCTCAGCAATTCAACTGTCAATATTTAGGTCCCAATCCTGATACTTACCTGTTTGTTTAAACACGTAGCTATGACAGTTGCCACATGTTTGCTTTCACACCAACTCAGCAAAATTAAGCACAACAGATGTAATATGTTGTACAAATTGAAATGTTTACTTTTTTTAATTAAATGATAATTCGCACACCAACTCAGCAAAATTAAGCACAACACCAGATGTAATATGTTGTACAAATTGAAATATTTACTTTTTTTTAATTAAATGATAATTCATTAGACATCATACTACAATTAAAACCCTAAACCAGGCAGCGACAGCAACGTCTAAAAAGTTGAGATTTCTTGTCTCAAAAGATGTTCTGAAATTACTAGGAAGAATTCTGCCTCCTAAAAACACAGCAGCACTCTGAAGAAACAGACAAACAGGCTCATTTGAATATTAAGTTTTTCAGAAAAGTGGTTGAAATAAAAATTAAGAAACCCAAACAAACCTTCCAAGAAAACTATATTTATTTGATTTTTAAATTAGTATAAAAAGCATAAAAAATTGAGTGAAGTAACCAAATAACCATTTATCTAAATATCTTTCATTAAAATTTAATAACTCCATATCTGCTTCCAAAAAAAAAAGTTGTTTATGACCACCCTATTTCTTATTTCTGGAATCCCAAACTGATGCTCCAGAGGAGTAATTAGAAGCGCTTTTTTTTTTCCCCCGGTGAGCATCACTTTCCCTCAAGTAGGGCAGGATGCTTCCCTACCGTACTGCACTGCGAGGACCTTGTTCTATTTTTATTTCTCCGTGTTTGTGGGCGGACCCCCCCCTTACTCTGCCGTACGCATCCCTGCTGCTGCGCTTCAAACATCGCCTAATTTCTTCACCTCTCCCTCTGCCCCGACCTCCTCCTCCTCCCCATGGCCACAAACACCCCTTTCTCCCCGACAGGCATCTCCCTCCTTCCTCCCGAGGCCACGGGCACCTCTGCCCGAGCGGAGGGAAACGGGTGCGGGGCTCCCCCTCCGCCGCGAGCGCGAGTGCGCACCCCCTCCGTCTACCTGGGGTGCTGCTGTAGGTGCTGTGGCTCCTGAAGCTGCTCTCGGTGCAATAGCTGGCATCGTCCTCGTCCTCCATCTCCTCCGGGTAGTCCGAGTCGTCGTCGACCTCCTCGACGGCCACCGCCGCTTCCTCCTCTTCCTCGGAGTCGCGCTTCGGTCCCCCCTCTTCCTCTTCTTCGGACACCACGCTCTCCTCCTCCTCCTCCTCACTCTCGTGATCATCGTAGACCACTTTGCTGCTTCTCCTCCGGGAAGAGGCAGCCCTGCCTTGGCTGCTGCTGCTGCTCCGGCTGCCTCCGCCTTTTCCTCCCCCCGCCGCCGCCGCCGCCGCCGCCGCTCCAGCCCTGCCCCTGCCCCGACTGCTACTGCCTCCCCCACCAGGGGTGCTGCTGCTGCCGCCGCCGCCGCTGCCTCCCTTCCTCCTGCCGCCCCCTCTGGAGGAGGCGACGGAGGGAGCGGAGGCCTGGGCAGCCCCGACCCCCCTCTGCCTGGGCCCGGCAGCCCCAGCCGCCTGGGCCGAGGCCGCCCACCTGCCCCGGCTGCTGCCCCGTAGTCGGGACCTCAGCCCCCCGATGGGGCCTGGTGGGGCGGGGGGAGCCGGGGGGCTTGCCCGGAGAGGCTCGCGAGGGCACTCGGGTTCCGGGCAGGCGGCTGCGGGGGCGCTCCGCCCCGCGGTCAGAGTTCTGGCCCAGGCAGGGGGCGCCGCCGAGTAGCGAGGGCCGAGGGCTCAATCCGAATCGCCGGTGGCCCGCTCCGGATCGCCACCAGCCGCCATCTTGTTTCTTCGTCTCTGCCTCGGCTCGCTCCGCTCTGACTGGGGGAAGCGGCGGCAGGCCCTGAGCGCCTCACGTGACCAGCCTGCTTGGCCGAGGAGCGCAGCCAGAGGGCGCTGGCGGCCAGCTGTTGCGGTGCCTCCACCGCGGCTTCAGCGCGCCATCCTCGAGGTCTGGCACCCGCGGGGCTCTTTGCCACCCCTTCAGACGGCGTCCCGCACAACCAGCGTCAGACACCTGTTAATCCGCAGCGACGGGGCCAGTCCCCCCCCCCCTCAACACGCAGTTATTCCGCAGACCTTTCCCCCCCGTCAGTAAGCAGGATCCTAGCGCTCAGTTATATCACTTCACTGAAATTCTCTGTTACATCACTTCACTGAAATTCATACAGGTTTAAAACTGTGGGGTTCTAATACGAATTCAGATTTTTTAAAGTGGTCGGAACCGTGCGTGCAGCACCAGGCATTACTCTCCTATTGGTATCCTTACCCTTATGGACTTGGTCACATCCATAGCAGCACAGCAGGGCCCTGGCTTCCAGAGACACATTTAGGGAGTCCAGTGCTAGCTGTACTTTGTACAGCATAGCTAACCCTCAACTCCAGCTTAAGAAACAGCCGTTTCTCCACACATCTTGTATTTTTAAAAAACTGTGAAATTTTATGATCTCTCTACTGTAAAGGTAGGGTGTTGGGTGAAGATGAGAGAATGTGGCTTGCCAAAGGTGAGTTCACAGCAGAGGGGAGATTTGTCACAGGGACTACTGATCGTTAGCTTAGCTATTATGGTACACTAGTGAATATGTGTGTTCTCCCCCTGCCCACCTTCCTTTACAAGCAATTCATTGTGTCTAGGCTTTCCCCTTGATTGTGCACTCCTGAAAACAGGGCTTCATTTGAGCCAGGGACTCTCAGAGCAGGATTCGAAAGCAGTGCCTCACTGTGAAACATGCAAAGCAGTTATGGAGTACATTTCAGCATGTTCAGAGTACCTTGCCCTCTCTTAAGATTATTATAGGAGCTCAGTACAAAATATTTCATTGCTGGTTGCATATTGCAGGGAGAGATTATATACATAAAGCTGTTTGCAGATGTCCCAGGTGACACTCAATATGTAGTTTTCAGCTTGCCACATATTATTTTGAGTATTGTTTATATGCATGTCTGAAAGACCAAACTCCCCCCCCCCAATATCAATGTTCTATAGAGTGAAGCGTCCATTTATTTAAGCCCGTTCCCGCAATCAACAAGACGAACATTTCCATTTGTATATTGAACTTATCTGTTATGTTCTCATGACTTGTCACTTGATTTGGTTAGAGCTGCCAACTGACAAAATATATCAGTTTTAATTGATTGGCTATGCACGTTTATGAAGATTTGTTAATAAAGATGTTAACATTTTTTTTAAATCTAATGTCTGTTTTTAAACGGTGCCTGTGTGTGCTGCATTTAGAGACTTTCTTTCCTGTGTGGGCAATTCAGTTTGAAAGGTGGTGCCAGCAATTCCTGTTTTTGTAAGCATTTCAGTTTTTAAAAAAATAAGCCTGCATAATTAATTGGGGGCAGTTTGAAAATCAGTCACTTTAACTGTTAATGTAATAGTTGTGGGCCTAGATTTGACATAACACAGTAGATAAATGAGTTAAGGGTGGCCAAATTTTTCTAGCCTCTTATCAAAGAATCTAATGCTACAGACAACAATAGGGAAAACAAGTGTCCACACTTCACTGGCAAAGTCTCAGTGAATATTTCAGGTGGAGATCTTATTACCTTAATTATATGAAGAATCAGCTTCACAGCTTACCATAACACCCACAAGAAACAGTGAACTTCCATGGTGTTGCCAGAGCTCTTTGGGCTGTCATACTTCCCAAATCTAAAATGATAATCTATAACATTTTTTTCATCCTTACTCCACAGGGCTTATGAAGGTATATATGGTGCTTGATCCACCATTTTATTCTCACAACTCTTTATTTGGGGGGGGGGTGTTGTGCATGTGTGTGTGTGTGTATGTGTGTGCTTGCATGCCTGGAAGTCATGGTGACTTCTTGCTATGCCTAGTGGGGTTTGAACATTTTCAGAGGTGGCTTGATTGCCTGCTTCTGCATCCTGAGCCCTGTTATTCCTTGGAGGTCTCCCTTCCAATTACTTGCCAAGGTCGGCCCTATTTAGCTTCCGAGATCTGATTCACCTCCTAGGCTATCCAGGTCAGGGCTTTATTCTCACAACTCTTGAGGCAGGTTAGGCTAAGAGAGAATGACTGACTCAAGGTCACCCTATGAGATTCATAGCTGAGGGGAATTTGAACCCACCTCTTCCCTATCCTTGTGTATTGAGGAGTGCTTTACCTTCCAGACTTACCTCCCTTCCATATCTAATTAAGGTGTGATATAGGCCTGGTCTTCACATGCAGCCAAACAAGGTAATATATAATTTTGAGGGAGTTAGATAGGGCTATACCATTTCAAACTTCAGGCAGGAAAACTCATTTTTAATACCTGCCATGTAAATACTTCACACCCTGACCTGGATAGCCCAGGCTAGCCAGATCTCATGTGATCCTGGAAGCTAAGCATGGTTGGCCCCAGTTAATATTTGGATGGGAGACCATCAAGGAAGTCCAGGGTTGTTATGCAGTTAGGCAATGGCAAATCACCTCTGTTTGTCTCTTGCCTTGAAAACCCTACAGGGTCACTATAAGTTGGCTGCAACTTCATGGCATTTTCCACCACCAAATACTCCATCCAAATAAAAAAATGTAGCACATCAAGGAGAAAGATTTCAGCCTAGCCCTTTCCATGCTATGCTAGTTTTTCACTGTAAGAACTTTCAAAAAGGCAATCACCTGCAATCTGAAATAGAGCCGTCTGTTCTCCCACCTCAGCAGTCTGCCACATGTCCAGAGCAGGCCACACACTCTGCCTTTTCAGGCATAGGATGGGAAACTGCCAGGAAGGAAGGGGTGTCATTTTAAGAAGATTTTGCTTTCTAAGAGTGGTCCAAAATTTGAACAACTCTATAAACAGAATAACTGACATTTTGCAGTGTTAATGTATCATCCTGCTAGTGGCATGGGAAATAGCAATGAATTCATGTAAAGACATTTAACCCATACGAGAGACATTATTTCAGCATTAAAAAATTGGTGCTAAATATTAAAGGTCTGGAGGAATTGCTTGTCCATCAATCCTCAGGTCCAGAATCCAGATCCTTTCATCAATCATCTTCTCAGGCAACTTTCTGATGTCTTTTTTATTTTAGAGCAGTTGTGTATGCAACTAGTATAACAGCAAGTAGTAATTCAGGGGCAGGTAACAGTAGCTTCAGCAATAAGCATTTAATTGTGAATGCATATATGAAAAAACATGTGTTAAAAAGTATACAGGACTGCTTGTACGATCTCACTAAGATCCACCACATTATGTCGAATAATGTGCTCCATGGTAAAGAACATACCTGATAAACCTGAGAAGATGGTATTTGTATTGTATTGTTATTGTATTTGGGAGGGGGTCATAAAGAGAACAATGTTTTGTTCCGCTGTGCACGCTTTAGGTCAAGGGTCCCCAGCATGACGCCTGTGGGTGCCTGGATGCCCACTGACACCTTTACTGGCACCCGCCAAGTGTTTTTAAAATGTGGATGAGGCTAGGAGAGGATTTTGCCCAGGAGGGCTTCTGATTGCCTGTGCAGATTAAAAGACATACTGTTAAAGAGAGCTTCTTCCTGAAATATTTAGGAGTTACTATTAGAGATACCTATAATCTCGATCAGTGTCATTTTGCTGTTGGCTGCACCTTTTGCAGTTATTTTGTGATTGCCTCCATCTACTGCTGCAGCCATTTTGTCATTTTGCCTACCGTCCTATGTTAGAATTCCAAAGGGGCACGCAAACTCAAAAAGGTTGGGGATTCCTGGTTTAGGTAATATGACTTTTTGTTCTTTTCAAAATAAAAATAACACTGAGCATGTTAAGCTGAATTTGAAAAAGGCTTCATCATAGGCTATGTACCAGTTTATCACTCAGGTGATTTACAGACCTCCACATGCATGCAATTTCTGCCTGCCATATAAACCTGGTATCCCAAAGTGAAATATGTTAGCCCTACCAGCTGCAAATCCCTGTACGATAACCACAATCTCCCCTTATGCATCTGGCATTATAGCACATTTATTCCAAGTCTCCAATAATATGTTCCAGGCAGTCTTGCGTTTAAGAGATATGTGAACATAAGTTCACATGTTTGCAGAGGCGTGGCAACATAAAGATCCCCTTAGTTTCTTAAGAAATTAACTATTGCCTGCAGTTATACTTTTTGTATAATCTGTGTAATGTAGTAGATAAGAGTATGAAATCATGAATATACCATGTGGCTGTAAGCAAGCCACCACTTTTCAGTTCTAGTTCTCCACTACCATCATCAATACATCTAATTCAATCTCAACATGGCCCTATCTGTGGATACT